TTACTAGTATTTTAATAGTTCCATATTCTCTCAGCTAACTGCCTTTCTGTAACAAATTTAGAGTGTAAGAGTAAGTCGGCCGGGCGCGGTGGCTCACGCCTGTAATCCCAGCACTTTGGGAGGCCGAGGCGGAGGGATCACGAGGTCAGGAGATGGAGACCAGTCTGGCTAACACGGTGAAATCCCGTCCCTACTAAAAATACAAAAAACTTAGCCGGGCGTGGTGGCGGGCGCCTGCAGTCCCAGCTACTCAGGAGGCTGAGGCAAGAGAATCACTTGAATCCAGGAGGCGGAGCTTGCAGAGAGCCGAGATCCCGCCACTGCACTCCAGCCTGGGCGACAGAGCTAGACCTCGTCTCAAAAAAAAAAAAAAGTAAGTCTTCAAGATAGGAGTTTTGTAACCTTTGCCTAGAACCAGCACCTGGCCACAGGAAAACGATACTCCTGTATGGCAATTCTGTGTTTCAGGAGAATATAAAACAAAAAGAAAGAGGAATATTGAGAAATATGTATTCCTCCTCCCTCCCCGATTTCCTTATTCCACACAAAGGAAGCAAGAAGTAGAACAAAGAGCAAGGATAAAGGGAAGAAGACCGTTTGGGGCTACGCCAAATAAACTTAAATGGCTTAAGGAATAAATTGGTGGAATGATTCGAATCATGGGCAGGTGCTATGAATGTAATTTAGTAAATGCTTGGGAACCTGCCAGGGAAGAAAAAAATGTGTTGCTTTTGAGATCGTTTCCCAGCAGCTTCATAAAAGAAAACTGATTACAGGAATTTAATAAGTAAAACAGAGCCAGAAATATTGTAATCAAATGAGTTTTTAATTACATATCGAGCAGAAAAAAATTCCTATTTGTACTCCTGGGATTTAAAAAAAAAAAAAGTTCTAGAGAAATGCTTTTGTAGCAGGAAAATAACATAAACACTAATTTCCATAGGAATTATAGTAGTCAGTTTAATTAAAAGGCTTGATCAGAGTAAAGAGAAGCTTGTGCCAAGCTATACTAAATAAAACCATGGCAGTTGTGGCTACCTCACACTATTGTCTAAATAAACGCACTGTGCATTGAGCAGAAAACAAGCACCTGCATTTTTCTCATGGAAATAAAGGCGATTTTGATCACTGCTGGAGTTACAATGTTGCTTTGTTTTATTATCATATGAAATAACTAGTAAATCTGATTTAAAATTAGATGTTTCTGTTTAGCGTGATAAACATCACTGTTAAGAGAGAGATAGAATATACTCTGTCTTAAGGACATCAGGCTTTCAATGCCCAACCCCACTCCCTTAACTTACATCTAGTTACGTTTTACTCATATTCATGTAACTCCCTGGAGCACAGGATTATCTGAGCAGATAAATTAGGTTTACTAACAGGTGGTTTGCAGTTGTGCTTGGAGCCATATACTCTGGCATTCTAACAGAAAAAGAGCTATTCTTCCTGTTGGAGGACTTACTATTGACTGCTCCCTAACCACAGTCATGCTCGGAGAAGGCTTTTCAGAAGGTGTGCTGAAATCATAGTGGCTTAATGATATGTTCACCTTTTGTGCCCCTTGTGATGAATGGGATGCACCTACAAGGTGTCTACATGGGACCAGGGATATAACCCTGTCCACAGAACAAAAAATAGCTTACTGACCCAAAGCATAAAGGGGGAAATCACCTTTCCGTAGGCTAATAATCTCACAACTTCTGTGTTCCTTCTTTTATTTATTTCTTTATAAGGAAAATAAAAACTACCTTATAGGCCTTAGTGCAACAAGAAAGGGAAACTTTAATTTTTCAGAATTTTGGGGAGCCTGGGAAAAAACTGGCTGGTTGGCAGTCCAGATCTGTATAAAAGCAGTGAGACAGGGATGGGGAGAAAACTGGATTACTCTCCATGGGGTAAAAGACTGTGCCCTTTGAGATGAAGAGGAGTATGTAAGAGTAAGTCAGTGGGTAAGTCACTTCCCCTGTGACAACCTCTAAAGTCAGTACAGTTAGTAGGCATCCAAAATGTTGAGGGTGATAGGATTTCCTATGAAAAGGGGAAATAAAATGAAACACTGCATTAGGAATGGTGCAGAATGCAGTCGAGAGGGCCAAGTAGACTCAAGAAGATGTCAAAGAGTACAAGGAAGTAAGACTTGGAAATAACTGGAAGGAGTCCAAAAGGTCCCCCAGAGCATGAAATAGATTTGAGGTCTAATCTCAAGTCTAAAGGGATGGGGAGACCTCAAGTGACATAAGATTACGTTCAAAGAACAATGTCCGAATTCACGAGAGTTGTATACATATGCAAGATGATGGGTGATAGAATTGATGGATAAGAGGAAAGAAGAAAGGAGAGATGGGTATGAGTAAGTCAGAAGGAAGGTCCTGGTGTCAACCCTTACCCCAAATTGATGACAACAGCAATCACATTCAATATGTCCTCAGAAGTTCATGTCTTCAGTCTCCTCATCACCATCACAGTCTCTAAAAACAGGAATGATACAATTACTAGCTGGTTGGAACTGTGCATTGACAAAGGTTGAAGCCATACAATTTCAAGATGTGTACCTTATTATTCCTTGGTTTTTCTTCTTGACTCTTTAAGAGCTTCCCATTTATGCTACATCTTCAGCAGATTTCTCTATATCTTCATTCTATATGCCAGGTTAGTGTCCTATCCCTGACTTTTACTTGAGAAAAACAATGGTTTTCTCCATAGCTTCCAAAACAAATGGAAAGATTACAAAAGGAACCCCTAACTTCCTATATGGATTCTTATCTTCCTTCTGCGGCGGAAGGACTAAGGATCATTCATGATCCTAACATGTGGGGGATATGTTTTATCATTGGTAAAATGCACAGTCATTGTGAGGAGTAGCTGAGATGAAGTATGTAGAGCAGCCAGCAATGTGTTTAACACATAGGAGGTGTTAGGTGTTAACGGAAGCTCCCCCTCATCCACGTGGGATGCCAGCTTTTTATACTTCTTTCAGATCCTGGAGATGGAAAACAGGCCCAAGAAGTATGAATGCTTAAAAATCCATACATTCTCATTGATTCTGTCCATTTGTAAACAGATTATAAAATACCGTGTGTGTGTGTGTGTGTGTGTATATATATATATATTTTTTTTTTGAGATGAAGTCTCATTCTGCTGCCCAGGCTGGGGTGCACTGGTGTGATCTCAGCCCACTGAAACTTCTGCCTCCTGGTTCAAGCGATTCTCCTGCCTCAGCCTCCCAAGCAGTTGGGATTACAGGTGTGTGCCACCACACCTAGCTTTTTTTTTTTTTGTATTTTCAGTAGAGATGAGGTTTCACCATGTTGGCCAGGCTGGTCTCAAACTCCTGACCTCAAATGATCCACCCACCTCAGCCTCTCAAAGTGCTGGGATTACAGGCGTGAGCCACCTCTTCAGGCCATATTTTAGATGTTCTGATCATTTAACCAGTTAGAAACATAATGGAAAGATTTCATTCAAGGCAAAACCCAAAAGTTAGTAGTGTTTATCTCTTAAGTTATGAGATTATAAATTATCTCCATTTCTTACTTTTTAAACCTATTGTTTCTATATTTTCTAACACCAACATGTTACTTAAAATATATAAAATAACTGTGAAGGGAAGAAAAGGTATTATTTTTGAAACAATCCCCCAAAACCTCATGTTTTAAAAGGACAAAGACCATGTTTCTAAAAGTTAAATGTCATCAAAATCTTATTTCCCTTTTCATTGAGCTGTCCAGAAAATTAAAAGGCTTCTAGACTCTGTTACATATGTTTTACAGGGGTGGCTTTACTTATACTTATTATTCATCTTTATTGGCATATAGGTACATAATAGATATTTTTGCTGATCATATTTTACTGGTTGAATATGTTAGAAGCCTTTCATTATGAAAAGTTAAAAAAAGTTAAAATAAGTAAAATGTAGATATTCGTGCATTTAAAAGAAAGAAAACAATCAGAAAAGTAGAGAATAGTGGAATTTTCCTGTTGGGCAGAGTAAACTCCATGCCCCTCTGATCTGTAAAATATTTACCTATTGCTCTTTAATCTGAGCTCCTTGAATTTGTTCTAGTCCCAGTTCAGAAACAAAATCCTCAGCCCTGCCCCAAGCCCTCTGATATAAAAGCTGAAGAAGGACTCATTTGCATTAAATTAAAGTAAGCCATCTTACTTTTAGGGCTCTCATTCCACTACCAGGGGCAAACCAGGAGCGGTGAGACAAGCTTATACCATTTGGGAACAGGAGGACTCTTTCAAAAACACACACACACACAATTACGCACAAAATAATATACTTAGAAGAGTCTGGCACAAGTGAAGATGCTAAAGCCTGACTTTCATCAGCCTGGTGGTCCATCTGCCCCTGGCCACACCTTACATTCCCTCTTCCCTCATCCCCCTTTCATCCCTCTGTCACTCTCTTCCACACTGCTTCCCTTTCTGCCATGTCTATTTCCATGCATGTTTCCATGCTTTGTATATTTAGCACAACTCCCAGATCTTTAGCTTTAAAAAGGAGCACCTTCTCATTTCAGGATTTTACCTGGCTTTTCCTGTTCAATTAAGTCCACCCAGAGTCATCTACGGTAGAGCAATTGTAGGATTATTTTGTAAAAATTTAAGTTCATAGTCAATTGAGATCTGGAGCCCTCTATGGTAGGCAAAGATACACAAATAAGTAGGCATATGTGAGCTGGATATTTTGTTTCCTGTCTTACTTGATGTAGTTGTAAAACAGGATTCGAGTCTACATGGCTGGTGTCCCCTAGAGTTGTACACAGTCATGCTGGTGATGTCTTATTTTTTCATTCTCTAAGTAGGCTCTATTAATACAACACATTGGTGTTAAATGCATATTTACTTCTGTAAATAGCTCTTGTTTACAAAAATAATCATCACTTTCATTTCCTACAGCCAGTTTACATTCTCCTCATAAATGAAAGGGGGAAAATCATGTCAGTTACTCTGTTTCCTCTCTCCTCCACCTGTATTTTGTTTTCTTTTAGGCACTGGTGAAGGTCAATGTGAAACTGAAGCCGATGCTAGATTCAGTAGCTGCAAACAGAAGTAAGTGGGAAGAGCTGCACCAAAAACGGCTGCTGGCCTCAACTGCCTCATCCTCCCCTGCCAGTGTTATGGTAGCCACGGAAGACAGGAACTAACCCTCCAGGTCAGCTGCAGCTACAAAGTGACTCAGCCTGAAGGGCCACTTTCAGTCCAGCCATGTCATCCTTTTGTTCTTTTAGTTCAGAAAGACCTAACATCTCAAGGATGCACTGGGAAGCATGCCTGGGCTTTCACCTTGAAGCGTGATCAGCAGCAGAGAGAGCAACGGGAAGGACAAAGAAAGAGGTGGGGCAGGGAGCACACCCCAGGACCCTCACTTTTTCCCTAATGAACACGCATGGGCTGAAATGAAGGCTCTGGGTGGGGACTGTTTTGGATCCAAGGATCTGTGGACAGGCGGCCTACTCGCTCTGAGCTGAGGGAACACTGAACAGTAAAAGCGTCATTAGCGCTGCTTCGTTTTGTATATGGCTTTTCTGTTTGTTAGAAGCCAAACACTGCCTGTCTTTTCTTCCTGTCCCTGAATGCCTTTTTGTGCCAGACCGTCCCAAGAATCCTAATTTGTATTCCATAGAGGTATTTTATTTTTAATTCTAGAACTTCTTATTGATGGATCCTTTAGAATTGCCTACCTAAAAGTAACCTATACTATCCTTATAAATACTGGTCAATCCCAGTTCTCCCCCTAAAAAGGAATACTTGCTATAGTAGGAGTATAGCAAATGTGTTTGATGGGTAATTCTAGACTTGGACTATGGTACCCTTTTCCAGAGTTTTAAAATTCAACCTTCATTACAGACCAAGTTTTCTCCCAGAAGGAATAGATTGATAGATTTTGATTAAAGTAAGGGTGGAAGGAAATCTGTAGCTGGATTTACCACAGGTGACATCTAGAAACTATGGTTCACAGGACAGAGCAGAGCCATGGAGACTAAGCATTGACCACCTTGAGTTCTCCTAGTGAAGAGTTCTGGTATAAAATGTAAGGTTACTGCCAGTAACCAACTTAAAGCAAACTATAGGGGTCCCTAATTTTGGATTTTTCTTTAAGTGTAAGAAATAATGCTTCAAATGTTAAGAAATAACAGTCTGGGCAAAGAACGCATATTCTATAGGAAGCCAAGTTTACAATAGGTAAGAATAAACTGTATTAAGTAGATGTAATGACTAGAAAGCTGCTTTGCTCCCTGTTTTGAGAAATTGTGGACATAGTATATCTTATCCAAAGAACGCTGGGCTAGAAGATAGATTTCTATCCCTAGCTTTGGCATTATTGACTAGATTGACTTGAACAAGTCACTTCACTTCTCCAAGCTTGTTTCCTTATTTGTCAAATTAGATTACACTAGGAAATGATTCTTGAACATGTTTTAACCTTACAACTCTTTGTTCAAATAAATCTTTCAAAGAATCCCCAACATATAAAACATCAAAAAGCTGAATTCCTAGGTGAATTATAAGCAGGGTTTGGACATCCAGAGCACCTACAAACCTTCATCTCTTGGATTACATACATGGGGGTCCACAGGGACTCTGAGGAGTTTGAACATCCCTGGACTAGATTAAACCTGAGGGCCATTCCAGTCCTTAAAAAAATCTAAAATTTACAAACCATTTTTCTTATTATTGTTTTTGTTTGTTTTGTTTTTTGAGATGGAGTTTTCACTCTCATTGCCCAGGCTGGAGTGCAATGGCGCAATCTCAGCTCACTGCAACCTCGGCTTCCTGGGTTTAAGCAATTCTCCAGCCTCAACCTCCTGAGTAGCTGGGATTACAGGTGCGCACCATCACGCCTGGCTAATTTTTGTATTTTTAGTAGAGATAGGATTTCACCATGTTTGCCAGGATGGTCTCGAACTCCTGACCTCAGGTGATCCACCCACCTCTGCCTCCCAAAGTGCTGGGATTACAGGCGTGAGCCACCGTGCCTGGCCCTTGTTATTGTTATTAATCATTATCAATCATTAACTTTACAAATATGAAAGAAAGAGGGGCCATGTTCTACAAGGGACATTGTTTTCCTGGCACACAGTAGACAATTCAGGAAATGTTGGCAGAAGAAATGGGTAAAATTAAAATACCAAAATGGAAGTGAGGGGAGAGCAGGTAATTGTAGAGAAAAACACTCTTCATGGCAAGAAACAAAGTAAAAGAAATGTATAAACCAGACTAAGAGGGGAATAAAAGCAAGCAAGAAGAAGAAATATAAGAACACCAATAAAGGAAAGACAGGGACTGAGGCAGGTGGTTAAGGGAACTGCCAAAAAAAAAAAAAAAAGGTGAAAGTCAATCCAAACAAAGAAAAATGGCACTTCCAGCCAAAAACATGAAGATGTAGAACCCTGTCATCAATTGCTGAGAAAAGAGAGACACTAGAGTAGGGAGGGGATTGAGAAAGGGGAGAAGGAGTGAGAGCCCTAAAAAATAATGTTCCTAGCTGCCCTTTACAGCTGTCTCTGCAGGGAAGACTGGAGAAAGTACAGGGGGAAATGAGTGCAGGAAAAAACTGCCTCTGCAGAGCAGGTAAGAGGAGGTTGTTCAGATTTATGGATTTTATTAAGTCAGTTTTCTGCATCACTCTGCTATAAAGGAAAATAGCTGCTGCAGGGCTGTCTCTCCTCCTTCAGGTAAGGAACAAAGGGTGGGTGGAGTCAGAGACAGAGTCTGGTCTGCGAGATCATGGTGTGTCTGCAGCTCCGAAGCACTGCAGGTGTTTCTGGGTAATGTGCCACATCATGTTTATATCACAAACGGGAATTGAAAATCAGTCTGTGTGGCAGAGATGAGCCCACATCTGTTATCCTCACCAACAATAAATAAATAAATAGCCCAGACAAACGGATGCCAGTCCATCTACAGCAACATTTTAAAGCATGTGCTTTATGACAAAACTGGACCCAGGGTCTGACAGAGACTGCAGGCTGCCGTGAGCACTGTAGCTATCCTGAACGTTGATGCTACATATTGCTAAGGGGAACATAATTTATAGCACAAACCCTACAGCCTCCACTAAGGTTGAGTTTTCCTCTCATTTCCTTGCCTTTTTATTGGCTTCACTGCATGGTTGCCAATAGCAACATCCACTGGTAGCAAGGGGAGTTCAACACCATTGCAATCTGCCATATAGTGGAGCCCTGACAATGTCAACCATCAATCTAGTAGCTGTTTGTAATTGCCTCCATCTATTTCTCCTGTCTTGAGGTATCTTTCCTATTGTGGGTCAAGATTCAGGAACTGCTGACTAATGCCATGGGTCTGCATCTCCATGACCATGAAGCAGTGGAAAGGAAGGTAGCAGCTTCCTGGTGCCAACAACCCCAGAGGTTAGAGGTTGAACTCTTGCGGGTTTCAGGCATTTTTAATCCCTTTTCTAAAAAATTTATAATTTTGCTAAAATGTGAGGCATATGCAGTTATCCATATATTCTGCTTTTCCAAAAAAGAGAAAGTTTCCCAGTCCTTATTATTAATGTTTATTTCCTATTGGAGAAAGACATTTGAAATGTGAGCCTTCTTGTAAAAACTCAAACTGACCAGATTATGTTTGCTTTCTCAGGTCTCTTGGCATTAATTGTTGAAATAAATTCATCCTACTTTTTGGATGAGATGTATTTTTTTAGACATGATATTTAGTCTTACTAATCAGTATGTAGCTAATATGTGTGCAACCTGCAATATAGTGGCAATCCTGGTGGGTAGGGACAGCTTCACATACTGCAAAGGGCGCCATTCAGTGCAGAGCAGACTGGAACTCCCTCCTAGCTTGGCCACCAGCTGAACCTGTAATCTTAGGACTCTCCAAGTCTTAGATTCTCCATCTATTAAATAAAAGTACTGACTTTTATTCAGTCCCCACACCAAAGGACCAAGATATGTTTAGCTTTAAAGAAATTTTCCAGATAATTTTCTTTTTTATTCTTCTCAAATAAAATAGCAACAAACCTAAAGCGGTCATCTTCTTAATAAAGACATAATAAAAAGTTACATATTTGGGGTAGACATAAACACAATCATACTACAGATGTCTTGAGTCTGTCTCTAACCATGATGAAAGATGTAGTCATCAATACAATTTTTTAAAAAATATGTCCTTCTTTTTTTGAGACAGGGTCTTGCTCCGTAACCCAGGCTGGAGGGCAGTGGCACAATCACAGCCACTGCAGCCTTGACCTCTCCAACTTAAGTGATCCATCCTGCCTCAGCCTCATGAGTAGCTGGGATCACAGGTGTGCACCACCACGCCCAGCTAAATTTTGCATTGTTTGTAAAGACGAGGCCTCACTATGCTGACCACGCTGGTCTCGAACTCCTGGGCTCAAGCGATCCTCCTGCCTTGGCCTACCAAAGTGTTAGGGTTAGAGATGTGAGCCACTACACCCAGCTTATATGTCCTTTTATTTCATAAAAAACAATTTTAGATTATCTGATATCATACATATCCCATAAATGGTAGTCATTAATTTAAAAGTGAATTTATAAAGTAAGTCAAGAGAAGTTAAAATTGCACATGCATTTTGTTTCTAAAAGCTGAGATGTCTCTGCATTTCCAGGTATTGTATATTTGCAAATACGTTGGGTTAGAAATCATCTTTAACATTTTGTGTTAGTGTAATAACAATATTATCTAATATTAATGCTACCAGAATCCGGTTGCTTTTTCTGTGTATCAAAATTTATCATACTTTATCCACTTACACTAGGTGATTAAACAGAATCTGCCCAATTTATTCTGCAGTAAAATTATTTTAAAATCTATTTTTCCTGCTGACTCTTAGAAACTGCAGAAAGACAAAAACCAGTTTCATCTCCAGTAATAGTGTGAAACAATTTCCTTCCAGTGGGACAGAAATCTAGACATATTAGGGAAAGATTTAAATATAAAGAAAAATGTTTTGGCTGGAAAAAAAAAAAAAACCAAAAAGCAAAACACACCAAAACACAAAAAGGATTCATTAAAGCAACAGAACAAAACCTAATTTGGGACCCTAAAAATTCTGGCGATGCCACTGTAATGAGGTTTCATTATCTGCTTCAGAGTAACAGTCTCTGAAATTGTTATTCTGCTACATGCTGTAAAGAACTCCCAAAACTCAAATGTATCAGGAAATGTAAAGGTTAAGTCTGACTACAAGAAGGCCAAAATTGCACCAGCTTCCTAAGTGAAGAATAATAGAATAAAACATAGAGGGCAGAAATAAAATGAGGTGTATCTGGAGAATTTCATGATGAGCATTTAGATTTAGCAATGCCCAATGTCATGCTGACACTGTTTGTCATGACCTTGTCTGCAACTAGTAATTTGGGGTTGTACATTTTTTAAACTTAATTTTGAATGTTCTTGCATGTTTGGTACATCTCTCTGCACTGCTAAATTGTTTATCTGCATAATATCACTACACCAATGTCATTTAATGTATACACTAGTATAGAAATGTGTTTTTTTATTAAGTAAATGAAGTATTTGCTGTGAAAAAAATGTATTATTTGTGGCCACCATTTATATCTGTGTTCATTTTCTGTGTGTATATGCGTGTGTATTCGAATCTCAATTTTTCTTTTACTCTAGTTTAGATTAAGACATATTTAGATGAAATTTTAAAAATAGCATTGGAAATAGGAGGCTAAGTTTTGTTGAGTCTCATTCCCTTGGGGGGAAATTGCTTTTGCCATTTTATTTTCATGTACAATAATCTAAAAAGGATCTCCTACTGACTTCCTTCCTAATTATTATTGTTTTACACGAAAGAAAGGAAATATGTTTTCAACTGAGTTGTTTGAAATCATTCCCTCTGTGTAAATTTTCCAGACTGATGTTTCATTGTAAGAATATTACATTATAGACTGCTTGGCCATTTCACAAGCAATTAATCCATAGTTTTGGAAGTCCGCTTTAAGAGACCTGAATATCTTTGTTTTTAATAAAATACTTAGAGTTTAATTAAAGCTCTGGAATAATCTTTATTTCTTTTGAGAAGGGTGATTTCAGGGCTGAAAGAAGGAAGCAAGGATCCAAATACCTACAGTTTAAATGTCGACTGTTAATTTAGTCCATTAACCTTGTGTTGATCTGTGATGTTTTCATGTGTGAGATGGACACTAGGACACCCCTGTCCATATCGCTTTTAAAGATGACATATGGTTCTTCGTATTATCGAAGTTTTTCTGGAGGTAGGAGAGTCTGCGGCCAAATGCTAGGTTCCTGTGTCTGTTACAGATTGCTCAAATTTGCATGGGCAATTACACAGGGGGATCGCATCAATGCAGGGCTGCCAGCCACACTGACGCCATACAATTACACAACGGCTTCGGTGCTTAAACTTTAAAATTCTTACACCATTGTGCCTGTTCTATTAGAACAAACTGCAGCAAATGATCCAAAGCCAATTCAAGTGACTGGAGAGGAGGTGCCCAGGGAGGGAGAGGGAAGAGGTGCAGTGTGGCCCACTACCGGCCAGCGTAAGCAATCACCATTGCTGGCTGCTGCAATCACTGGCTTCTTTGTGCTTTGCAGTCTGCAGTTTTAAAATGGAGCCAACGATAAGGCTCACCTAATTCACAGAAGGGCTGTGAGGATTAATGAGGGAAGTTAGGCAAAGCAGGCCTGATACTCAAAGTACTGCATAAACACAGCAGCTTGGAGTAGCTCTTTGAATGGTTGATTTTTTTTTTTTTAATGCTGCTGTATCCACAGTTTTGCACTCTCTATTAATCCCTTTTATACACCAAAATGCTATTGTGTTCTCCCTGGAAAGTTAATTTAGACAATAATACTGTAAACCCCAAAATACAAGCTACTTGATCAAAAGCAAGGAATATTCAAGAAGGAAATATAATTAAAATATTAATAAAGCTGGAACTACCAGCAAAAGGAGAGTTCATAATGAGGTTAAATGTCACACCATCTGGGCACAAATGTTCTCAAATGTTGATTTTAGCATACACTTTTTCCAAAAGTCTTAAAAGATGGAACAGATGCTCCCAAAAGTCAGTCAAGTATATTTCCAATTTGGCACTAATTTATACTTTTCTTCTCTGTTCACGGTAGAAGACTGGAGTGGGAGAATAGGGATGCAAGATAACTGAGCCCCCCAAACTGTCCATCCTGAAGAAAATGGTCTGAAATCAAAGGAAAAAAGAGATAACAACTGGAAAATGGATTTGCAGAAGGTCCTCCCTTATAAAGGAAGATGTTTGACCACAGCTGTGGTTGAAATACTCACAAATTACCAATGTTCACCAACAGAAAGGGGCCACAGATACAGTATAAATAAGACATACCTTCCAACTAGTTTTAAAAGAGAATGCCAAATAGATTGTACACACAAATAGAATACGGGATTTGATCATGGCATATTTTGGCAGGCAGAACATCAGTATGCTAAGAACCAAGCATCATGCTTTTTCTTCCTATCTATTTTGCCTAAATGAAACTCTTCTACATGATAAACATGTCTCCCTTTGTGTAGCAAAATCCACCCTGAGTCCAGCTCAAATTTCATCAAACTGCAATTCCTTTCTACAAGTCACCAAATCACTTTATTGCAACCACCAAATGCTTTCCTATTACTTGAAATGGTATGATACACTTACTTTTTGATATATCCTCCAGGTTTTCAAGATCCTATTGCAAACAAAATGATGCTTTATGATACTTCATAATATTCCACCTTATTTCTTTCCATAATTTCTATCATTAAACGGCTTTCTCTCACCACCACCCCCAACAAAACTAATCTATTCCCCAACTGCCTATCAGAGACCAGATAAAAGTCAGTCTATCACAGCAGCAGTGATGGTCATGCCAATTTCACAGTGTGATTTGTGCACTCAATTCATTTTGAAAATGACCCTGCCCTCCATCTGTCTAAGCAGAATGTCCTGCTTTTTTCAAGCCAGGCCTCTGGAGCAGCCTCACATGAAATAAGGAGGAAGAGACACAGAATGGCCTCCCTCCTGCCCACTTCAGCCACCACGCTCACAGGTACCCACATAAAGAGGAGAACCCCAACTGAATCCTGGTAGGGATCCCAGAAATTTGGAGGAGAATATAGTCCTTTTATTTTTCATACATTTTCAAGAAGCCATTTGAAGATGATGTAAATACAACCCTGCAAAACAGAAAGACTAATGAAAGGCAATTTCCCATTCCCATGTGGTCATGTCACCTTAATTTAATAACAAATTACCTAAGGTAACAGTACATACATAAGAATTTTAAAATACTGAGCCTTGCGAGGCACAGTGGCTCATACCTGTAATCCCAGCACTTTGGGAGGCAAAAGTGGGAGGGTTGCTTGATGCCAGGAGTTTGAGATGAGCCTGGGCAACATGGTGAGACCCTATGTCTATTAAAACATTTTTTTAAAAAGATTAGCCAGGCATGGTTGTGTACCTGCAGTCGCAGCTACTCAGGAGGCTGAAGCAGGAGGATCATGTGAGCCTAGGAGATCAAGGCTGCAGTGAACTATGATCATGCCAGCTATTGCAGTGAACTATTGCATGCCAGCCTGACCAACAGAACAAACCCTGTATCAAATAAATAAATAAATAAATAAATAAATAAATAAAATACTGAGCCTAAATTCCCAAGGGAGAACCATCAGGCAGCCAGCTGTAACGAAGTCTATGCACCCTTTCCCCCAATTTATTACTGAGCAGTATCCTCTAGCAATGTACCTCCTTGGGCTTAAGACTCTAAAAGGGCTCACCAAAAGATCAGATTGAAAGAAGTCTCAAAATAGAGTTATAGTAATATTCTACAGTTGCTTTCTGCGGGATCTTAGGTGAGCCAAAGCCCCATTCAATCCATCTGAAATGGATGCAGTTTCCCTTTCTTGGAATTGATGCACTGTGAAGCTCCTTGTCTAGTTCCAGCCAAGAAGACACAACTCTGCCGATTCCTAGCAAGGGAGAACACTGAGTAAGTACATAAAGTCAGCCATATGATGATATGAGCAATCACACACCTGTTAAAAATCTCCTTCCAGTGATACTGGGTAAATACGAGCTACACGACTCCACTAGTCACATCTGTTCACAGCTGGAATCAAGGCCTAGAAGTTCAAAGTTTACTACCTACACAAAGTTAGTTCGTTGTTTTAAAGGAGAAACAAAGACAATAATATTCCTTATACACACTTAGCACCAAACAACGGGCCCTTACAAACTCATGTACATGAGATACATGGATTGGGTTATTTATCAGTCACTATTTCCTATTGAAATTGGTTACTGGATATCATGGTTCAGCCCCTACCTACCTAGGTGTGGCCTTAAACTATTAATTTAATAGTTTGATTTAATTAATAATATAATACTTAAATCTTTAAACCTTTCAAGCCCGCCGACTTAATATGCAATATGCAGAATGCAGGTTGCTTATTAAAATTAGAAATACTATATGTAAACAGTCTATAATAGAGGTGCTATGTGATATGGTTGATATATCAACCATATGATAGCTGTGAAGTTTATATATAGAAAAGATTTATGGGCAGTAATACTATTATGGATGCATACAAAGGATTTGCAGTAATTATGTAGCAAACAACACACTTTTACTTGGATTAGGTTTATATTAGGTGCCAGAGAGACCAATGGATATCATGGGAGATGACAAAAGATACTGGTTTCTTATCGGCAGAGATGGTTGGAGGGCCACAGCAATGGTTACAACCAAGTGTAAACGCCAACGTATACTCAGTAATATTTTTTGTCATGGAAAGGGGCAGATACTGCGATCAAAAATAGATCCTCTCCCAGTACCAATAAGATTCACAGCACTTTTTCCTCATTAACCTCTGGAACCACCAAAATAAGAAGGATTTCTGTTTGCTGCTCTATTCTGTTCTTACAAACTGTGCCCTCGGGGTAGCATAATAAGAACCTGCTCTAATTCCAAGGGAATTCAAGGAGTTAACTCCCTTTTGCCATCCCGCTCCTTTTATTGAAAGGTCCTTTTATTACTAGCGAATCTCTATTAAAAGTAAGCCAAACGCCAGCATTAGTATAGACCACACCGCATACAAGGCTCAAAATCGCCAGGAACATGGGCCGGAAATCTTCCACCGCCGCGATAGAGACCGAGGTGGCACAACAGACACAGAGAGCGCCCCTCATCTTTAGGGGGACGGGAAGACGGGTGACCGTTCGTCCCCACGGGCCGCGGGTCGGGTGGGTGCAGCAGGGACTACGCCTCCCAGCATGCAGTGTGGCCACGCCCACGCAGCGGCGCCACAGGAACGATGCATGCCGGAACGAGGAGATTCAGTCTCTGAACGGCCTGGATTAGTCTTTCCCCGTCTGACTGCCGCCACTCTGCAGTCCGCCAGATCAAACCGAACTTGAGAGACTAACAAGAATGGTCCCTTTTTAATTCCTAACAGATTCCTTCCGTGGCAGAGTAACCGGCCGTCTTCCGTTTCCGGTTGCTCTGTTGTCGTGGTAACCGCACGCATAACAGCCGTGGTGGTTATGGCGGGCCTGAGCGGCGCGCAGATTCCCGACGGGGAGTTCACCGCAGTCGTGTACCGGCTCATCCGCGATGCCCGCTACGCCGAGGCGGTGCAGCTGCTGGGCCGAGAGCTGCAGCGGAGCCCTAGGAGCCGCGCAGGCCTGTCGCTGCTAGGCTACTGCTACTACCGCCTGCAGGAGTTTGCGCTGGCGGCGGAGTGCTATGAGCAGCTGGGCCAGCTGCACCCGGAACTGGAGCAGTACCGCCTGTACCAGGCCCAGGCCCTGTACAAGGCCTGCCTTTATCCGGAGGCCACCCGGGTCGCCTTCCTTCTCCTGGATAACCCCGCCTACCACAGCCGGGTCCTCCGCCTGCAAGGTGCCATCAAGTACAGTGAGGGTGATCTGCCGGGGTCCAGGAGCCTGGTGGAGCAGCTGCTGAGTGGGGAAGGGGGAGAAGAAAGTGGGGGCGAAAATGAGACCGATGGCCAGGTCAACCTGGGTTGTTTGCTCTACAAGGAGGGACAGTATGAAGCTGCGTGCTCCAAGTTTTCTGCAGCACTGCAGGCCTCAGGCTACCAGCCTGACCTTTCCTACAACCTGGCTTTGGCCTATTACAGTAGCCGACAGTATGCCTCAGCACTGAAGCATATCGCTGAGATTATTGAGCGTGGCATCCGACAGCACCCTGAGCTAGGTGTGGGCATGACCACTGAGGGCTTTGATGTTCGCAGTGTTGGCAACACCTTAGTCCTGCATCAGACTGCTCTGGTGGAAGCCTTCAACCTTAAGGCAGCCATAGAATACCAACTGAGAAACTATGAGGTAGCCCAAGAAACCCTCACTGACATGCCACCCAGGGCAGAGGAAGAGTTGGACCCTGTGACCCTACACAACCAGGCACTAATGAACATGGATGCCAGGCCTACAGAAGGGTTTGAAAAGCTACAGTTTTTGCTCCAACAGAATCCCTTTCCTCCAGAGACTTTTGGCAACCTGTTGCTGCTCTACTGTAAATATGAGTATTTTGACCTGGCAGCAGATGTCCTGGCAGAAAATGCCCATTTGACTTATAAGTTCCTCACACCCTATCTCTATGAGTTCTTGGATGCGGTGATCACTTGCCAGACAGCTCCTGAAGAGGCTTTCATTAAGCTTGATGGGCTAGCAGGCATGTTGACTGAGCAGCTTCGGAGACTCACCAAGCAAGTACAGGAAGCAAGACACAATAGAGATGATGAAGCTATCAAAAAGGCAGTGAATGAATATGATGAAACCATGGAGAAGTATATTCCCGTGCTAATGGCTCAGGCAAAAATCTACTGGAACCTTGAAAATTATCCAATGGTGGAAAAGATCTTCCGCAAATCTGTGGAATTCTGTAACGACCATGATGTGTGGAAGTTGAATGTGGCTCATGTTCTGTTCATGCAGGAAAATAAATACAAAGAAGCCATTGGTTTCTATGAACCCATAGTCAAGAAGCATTATGATAACATCCTGAATGTCAGTGCTATTGTACTGGCCAATCTCTGTGTTTCCTATATTATGACAAGTCAAAATGAAGAAGCAGAGGAGTTGATGAGGAAGATTGAAAAGGAGGAAGAGCAGCTCTCTTATGATGACCCAAATAGGAAAATGTACCATCTCTGCATTGTGAATTTGGTGATAGGAACTCTTTATTGTGCCAAAGGAAACTATGAGTTTGGTATTTCTCGAGTTATCAAAAGCTTGGAGCCTTATAATAAAAAGCTGGGAACAGATACCTGGTATTATGCCAAAAGATGCTTCCTGTCCTTGTTAGAAAACATGTCAAAACACATGATAGTCATTCATGACAGTGTTATTCAAGAATGTGTCCAGTTTCTAGGACACTGTGAACTTTATGGCACAAACATACCTGCTGTTATTGAACAACCCCTGGAAGAAGAAAGAATGCATGTTGGGAAGAATACAGTCACAGATGAGTCCAGACAATTGAAAGCTTTGATTTATGAGATCATAGGATGGAATAAGTAGTTATGGCTGATAGTGGCTTTTTTCAAAATGGCTTTCTTACCTTTCACACTTTTTTTATCTGTATTTAGCCTTGGCATCTTTATATTTGTCTTATTTTGAATTTTATCCACTTTATAATAACAAGTTTATGTTTGAGCAACTTTTTCATTTAATACAGAAGAGTAAGGACTATGCAGTGTAAGCTGCATCACTTCTGCTTTCTTCCTACTAGTGACAATCATCTGGTCTTGCCCTCAAGCAACAATTGCTAGATGACATCTTTGTATAAGAAGGAAACCCCAGATAGAGTTGATATTTCAGCTTTGGGCTGTCAAAAGGGTATGTCATGGACCAAAGCACTGTTAGTATGAGTATGTTTGCATTTGGTCACTGATATGTAAATGACTGCTAGCCAACGAACGGCTGGACCACTTCTCAATCAGCAAATAAAGCCATGTCTATTTTGCTATCTCAAGATAGACTGTGCTGTCTAATAAATCAAATTCTTAACTCTATTTCTCCAGTTTTTTAGTCCTTTAACTTTCTGGATTGCAACAAAGTCTAGTTTAGACCTTCTTTAAGCCGTTTTAGAAGTTCAAGTATAATGGGAATTTCTTTTCTTGGCTCTTTTCAGGTGATGAGGTTCGGTCAGTGATGTAATTTTTTTTCATAATTTGATTGATTTGTTGCTTCTTAAGTTTTATAATAAAAGTTTTTCTTCATGTTCTATTTTTGGTTTTACAGAAATGGTTTTGCCCACTTGTGGATACAACATATATTAAGTGTGGAAGCCTATTAATATTTTCAGTTTTTAAAAAACTGAAATTTTTAATTTTTACTTTTTAATTTTTTAGGAAAACATAAGCACTGAACTGAGAATGAGAAGCCTAAAGGTATGAGTTCCATACCTTCTAATTTTAGGCTTTCAGAAATTCCTTTATTCTTTGGGGTTTCACAATCATTTGAACTATCAGAAGCCTTTACAATTGCTTTTGGCTGTAACATCTGATTTTGTATAAGCCATATAGAAAAAAGTTGCTCCTCTTTTTTTACGACCTAGATATATAAGCAAATCAGCCAGGAAGTATATAATTGTATTTTATATTAATGTTTTCTAGGATTTTGGCTTACAGTAAATGTTAACCCCTACAGTCAGTGATTGTTACTGTTGGATGTTATACTGATTATTAATAAGAAATTTGGATTTTTGCCTTTTTACCTGCAATTGTTGCTTACAACTCTAGCTATGAATATATATAGAGTGGTCCCCCAGTCTCTGTTATGGTTGTGCATAAATTAATACTTTTATAGCTATTTAGAAATTATATAACTCTCTTAACTTCCTCTTTTAGTTTTTGTACGAATGTTTGTTTTTGTTGGGGAAGAGGAAATTTGCTTTTAATCCTTCCCAAAAATGATGAACGACCCTTCCATTCAGTAGTTTAATTGACAAGCTGTTATAATGTGTATTTTTTCCTCAATTATTCTTGAAATATTTAGAGCCTCTCCTGCTTCTAACATGAAGCCCTTTAGATGCCAGTCTGCCAGAAATCTGGAAACAGGAACAGGTGAAGTGAAGACGTAATGGAGATTTAGCTAATGATATACTTCACAATCCACTTTGGATACCCTTCATGTCCAAATCTCAGTAGTTAATCAAGTGTCTGCTGCCATTAACAGAACAGAAGTAATGGATAACAGAATGGAAATAAGAGATGCCAAAACTATTTCCGTAACTAACTCACTAAATCAAATCATCAGTCCTTATATTCTTGTTTTATTTAATTCAAGGAGAAGAGGCCATGCACTTTCTAAAAGGTCAAAGCCACATAGAATAGGAAAGCAATCTCTAGTTTAAAGCTTTCTCTTGGAGTGTTTTCTCCCCCTGCCTTCAAAGGGTCTACTTAAGAGATAGTGGTGTTTACTGCTGCAGAATGTATCACAAGATAAGAAATGAAAAATCTATCTTTCTTACCATTCGCTTCTCTTTCTCTTTTTAATCTTTTCCCTTTTGTCAATTATAGGGAAACTTTTCTCTGTTAGCTGGAATTTGAATCTCAACCAGGTATAAAAGATGCATAACAACCTTTTAGCAGTAAGTGTCAGGTGAGTGAGCACTATGATTATCAAGGTGACTTTTGAAACCTTTTAAAAATGCATTTTTGCAAAGCGAGATAATATGTATTGATAAAAAGTGACTCTCAGATTGGCAATGCCAGAAAAAAATTTAAGAGGACTCACCAAAAGTACTAGATCTATGTAATTTGTAGAATAGAGTGAACTTTTTATATATATGTATTTGTGGTAACCTCCATCTTTTAAACTTTTTGAACTCAATAGAAAAACAGACTGAAATTTTAAAGACATGCAGTATTTGTATCATTTTGAATTCTGTAACATTGGGAATTAAATGTACTCAACTTTAGAGGACACTTGCCTTACTGTAATTTATAATCATTTTATATTGAAAAATAGGGCTAGACATTAGCCAGAAGGTAATTAATTTATTGGCCATAGGTATAGTGTTTAATATTCTCTTGGGGAGTGAGTCTTTACAAGGTGATTACTTTATACTTGATACCACTATTAATTGAGGTTCTTTTGGTTGTTTAATTAAATCAGCTCCTTTGGATTTGGGCCAAGATTGATCCACCACATACTAAAATCCTTTCTATAAACTCATCATGTGTATTTATTAGAAAAGGAATTGCTTCATAAGGAAAAATTATTAGAATATAGACTTATAAGTACATTTCTAATGTGAAAAATAAGCATTTATTAGTTTAAGTGAGACCTGCCAATAACTTGATTGCAAATATTAATATCATGTGAACATATAAAATGGGCCCAAGTCCTTGTTCAAAAGTGAAATTTGCACGTTTGTGAAATAAAACACATCAATATCAATGACTGAATACCCTAAGTCAAAATAGCACATGGCTAAAATTGTACTATGCAAACAGGACCCTAATAAAGTATGTGGGAAAGCATTTATTGCTGCTATTTTATTTTCAACTATTTCATTAGGAGAGTCAAATGCTTAAGATAAAGGGCACATGACTAAAAGTTTCACCAGTACTCATGGCATCTGCTATAAAACGTGTGTCCGTGGAGTACCCACAAACTCTCAAGATCTTAAGTCTCAACAGTAAATTACTGGCTAGTTTTTCTGATCAGAGTCTCTTCTGTGAAAACTCAACCTCTTAGTCCCAGTTCTTCCAAAATTTCCAAAACCATACACTATAGTCTACGTACTTCATATATGGAAAGGAGAATATATACTTTTGTGAATATAAAGTGTCTGTTCCATTTTTAAGTCATGAAGTACCATAGGAAGAGATGGTCACTCCCTAACATTGTAAAGCAAAAGAAAGCTTCAGGAATTGAACCATAACAGCAACACTTTGCTGTAAAATATTTAATTAGAAGGCAATACCACATACTCACATATGCTAGGGAGTGCCATTATTTTGTATGTTTACTGGAAAAGGCAAACATTTTTTCTGTAGCTAATACAATATTTTTGTTTCTAGAACTTTTGTTCTTGTACTGATTCATTACCATTAAACTGCTAAAATGCCAAAGAACAGAGGAAAGCTTTACATGATTTGACTAAGACACTGCAAGTAGTTTCAGAAACTAAGGAGACTATTTTTCTGACAATGTATGTAAGATTTCTAATGAAAAGATTGGTAAAATTATAAAATGATTCTGGAAATAATCATGTAAAATATAAAATGGGAAATCATAAATGTGATTTTTTTACATTTGTAGGTATGACCTAAATAGTTTCTTTTAAATTACAAATTAAGGATTAAGATAAACATCTGGAATGTATCTGCAGCTAGAGTCTGAACAATGAGGGCTTAGACCAGTTCATCTCTTGAATCATAAAACTGAGGCTCAGAGAGATTAATATGACTTCCCAGGATAATATGATAGAGCCAAATAGGATCCAGGCAAAACCCAGATCAGAATTCAAGGCATCTTGCTCAATTCTCATGCTCTTTCCACTCTACCACATTTCTCTTAGATAGAGCAGGGACCCCTCTTAGGGGCCTACAGGGCCCTCCAAGTATGGAAATAAAGGAAAATCCTGAGTTCCTACAAGGGAAGTTCCAGGCACCTAGCTAGCCCTGAAAAGTAAATAAGCAACTTGATGAGCAAGAAGGTAGTAGTAACTTAAGACGATAGCCAAGGAAATTGGAATCACAGGATGTTTGGTTCCCCTATAGGAACTAGAGATAACATCTTAACATATGTCCCTGAATTGTTTTTCAGAAATCCAGACCCCCACCAAACAGATCTGCCTGCACATAGATCTCAGATAAGGGGGAACTGAGGACTGAACTCTTACTGCCATTCTTTATGGTCTAAATTTTTTTCTGAGGTACCTGGAAGAACCCACACCCAGGAGCCAGAGCTTACATTCTTTTCTGTTGACCCCAGAATTTTTAAATAAACCTTCTTTTCCTTAACCAATTGCAGATCGGAAAACCTTTCAGTCTATCTGTGATTGGTAAGTCCCCACTTCAAGATATCCTGCCCTTTTAGGCCAAACCAGGGTGTAAACTCTTCATGTATTGATTTACAATTTTGCCTGTAACATCTGCTTTCCTGAAATTTACCCCTGCCTTAAAAAAAACCCTTGCTTGCAAACCATAAGGGAAGTCAGGACTTAAGCAAGAACTGCCTGATCCTCCTTGCTTGGCACTCTGCAAATAAATGTCCTCCTCTCTCCTGCTGCAAACCTCAGTGTGGATGTGTGGCCTTATTGTGCCAGGAAGGCAAATCCCAGTTCAGTTCCAGAACACCTTCTCTTAGGTATTTTTTGTTTTTATTTGTTTGTTTGCTTTCTTTACAAATTTTTTCTATCAGTGCTAGGCATTTCTTTTCCCAGAGCTATGACTTTTGCCACTTCAGTTCCTGCTGATGATTTAATCGGTGATTTAATAGGCTTTTTCCAAAATACACTTAGTGAGAACATTCCAGGGCTGGCCTAAATTATGCTATGGTTTACAAAAGTATGTTGAGGGTTCCTGAGCAGGTGTGCTGTGCTGTTTGCAGCAGCGCAGATTTAGCTGCAGTGCAATCTGGGCTGGGTGGAAAGATTATTGACTCACCTGTTGTTTCATCACCACTTTGAAAAAAATCACCTTATATGATCCTTCTTCAAGTCAGTGATTTTCTTCTCTTCATTATAGTTTCCAGACACCAAACATGTAAAAATGGCATCAGAAGGCTTGTCTACATCTTAAGTGCAAAGAGCTGTGACTCATCCAAAAATCCCAGCATAAAGCCAGCTGATTTCACAAGTATTTACAAAGTGTTACCAGAGACTTTTGAGGCCCCATAAGGCTTTACCTTTACTTGCAAAGTCCATTTGAGCTAAACTCCTAAACACCCTCTTCCAGGAGATTGATTGCTCATTTTAGCTTAGGTTTTGGGGAGGAAAAATTAAAAGCAAGCAATTGAGCCACGATTAAGTCCCTGTTATTTACCTTCTTTTTTCTTTTTGTACTAATAATTCTTAGTCCACATTCTACATGAGAATCAGTGGGTAAACTTTTTAAAAAGTAAAGATGCCTTGGCTCTAACCCCTAAAGATTCTATTTCTATTTATGGAGATGGGAGTGGGAGGAGGGATCAGGTTTTTTGTAAGTGCCCCAGGTAACTCTAATGTGTAGCCGAGGTTGAGAACCACTGTTCTATACACACACGGTAGTGACCATGTGGCTGCTCTATGTTGGCGTGAAGGTTGTGGTGCAACATGTTTGAGAATAAAATAACCCTATGCTCAACCTAAAGAAATAATGAAAAATGAATAAATGGAACGAATCAAAAGATCTGAATTTTTTTTAGAGCCACTTAATCTGGGGTATTCCGATTCACTCAAATATAGCTTTTAAACCAGTGCAATTTCTTTAAAACATTTTTTTAAATCATGCATTCAATAATTCTTAAGAAATCTTTGGCTTTCATAGAAGGAATTTTAAAAATACTGAAGTAGCTAAAAGCTATACAATTTGATAGTGGAAGCTAAGAAGGGTTTTCAGAATTTAAGAACATGAAAATACTCTTTTTGTTTTCAGAGACTCATAAATGTCATTTGCTGTTGTAGGAGAGGAAAAGTCTTCCACTGTCGTCTTATGGTTTTCAGCTAGGTTTGATGTAAGAAAGATTAAACATGAGAAAGGCATACAAATTTTGTTTACACAACGTGGGAGCCCCCACAAGGACAATGAAGACCCAAAGAAGTGGCTAGGCCTAAGCATGTATATAGTAGTTTGAACAAAGGGTGGAAACTGTGGGAAAGTAACTAGGAAGATAAGTTAGTTTAACAAAGTTTGTACAGATTTCTCTCAGCCTCAACTCCCTGTCTCTGGTGATAAGCATGTTGTTTCTTTTGTACTGGTATAGGGAGGGTATCTTTCACTTGGGAGTTTCATCTGCTTTTGGGAAGAAAAGGGGAGATTAGAGTGCCCTTCCTCTACCTGCTGTTTCTCAAGTGCCTCTATTTCAAAATAATTAATATGCCAAGGCAGCATATTTTGGAGTGGCATGTCCTGAATTCCTTCACTGTCACCTCTACTTAGTTTATTAGTTTAGCTGTGCTAAAGTCAAAAGTGACTGTGCATTATCATAACCATGCTTACAAATGCTTTTGGTTGACTTTGGATGCACCCAATTTGTTCTCCTAATATTTGAGCCATATTCATCTGTTCTTCCTATAAATCTGGATTCCTGCAAACCAAACTCCAGTCCCATGTATGCATTTATAGATGCACATATGGTTTTTCAAAATTTACATTGGAAATTAATAATACTCAATGGTTGTGTTGGTTTATTTATTTTGAGACAGGGTATCACTCTGTCATCCAAGCTGTAGTACAGTGGTGTGATCATGGCTCACTGCAGCCTTGACCTCCTGGGATCAAGCGATGCTCCCACTTCAGCCACCCGAGTAGCTGGTGCTACAGGCACACACCACCACACCTGGCTAGTTTTTTTTTTCTTTTCGTGTAGATACAGGGTTTCACAAGTTAGCCAGGCTGGTCTCGAACTCCTGGGCTCAAGCTATCCATCTGCTTTGGCCTCCCAAAGTGCTGGGATTTACAGGCATGAGCCACTGTGCCCAGCCTTATATTGATAATTCAGTATGAATTCTCCAGCTTCACTCTACCCCCACCCCCAAACATTTGGTCTAAACTGATGGTTCTCAAAATGTTTGACTGCCCAGTAGAATTATCTGAGAAGTTTTTAAACTCTCATGCTGTATTAGTCCACTCTTGCACTGCTATAAAGAATTAACTGAGACTGGGTAATTTATAAAGAAACCAGGTTTCATTGGCTCATGATTTCGCAGGCTGTACAGGAAGGGTGGCAGCATCTGCTTCTGGGGAGGCTCAGGGAGCTTTTACTCATGGTGGAAGGCAAAGTGGGAGCAGGCGTCTAACATGGCAGGGGAAGGCAAAGTGGGAGCAGGCGTCTAACATGGCAGGAGCAGGACCAAAAGAGAGCGTGAGGGCAGAGGTGCTACTCACTTTTAATCAACCAGATCTTGTGAGAACTCACCGTCACGAGAACAGCACCAAAGGGATGGTGCTAACCATCATGAAGGATCCACCCCCATGATCCAGTCACTTTCCACCATGTCCCACCTCCAACTCTGAGGACTGCAATTGAACATGACATTTGGGTGGGGACACAGGTAAAAAAAAACCATGGGGACACAGATATAAACCATATCACATGCCCCAGGCTGCATCCCAAAACAACTAAAGAATTTCTGAGGGTGGAACCCAGATATCTGTATTTTCCTGAGCTTTCAAAATGCAGCAAGCTTGAGAACGGCTGTTCTAACTGATCACTATAATTTCCCTCTCCGTGATTGATTTAGGAATAGGCATGTGACCCAATCCTTACCAAGACACAAGAAGTCTCCTGGAGGGCTGCTGGGAAAGCTTTCTTTACCCCTTTAAAAAAACAA